AAAAAAAAAAAAAAAAAAAAGCAAGCAAGCAAGAAAAATAATAATAAAAGCAATGAAGGGGTAAAATAAATCAAGCAAAGGCTGGGTGCCAGTGGCTCACGCCTGTAATCCTAGCTACTCAGGAGGCTGAGATCTGAGGATCAGGGTTCAAAGCAAGCCCAGGCAAGGAAAGTCCTGTGAGACTCCAATAAACCACTAGAAAACCGGAAGTGGCACTGTGGCTCAAGCAGTAGAGCGCTTGCCTTGAGCTGAAGAGCTGAGGGACAGCGCCTAGGCCCAGAGTTCAAGCCCCATGACTGGAAAAATAAATAAGTAAATCAAGCAAAGTCTTGCCTAGGCAAGTGACAGAGTATAGCAAGAAGTATTTTCAATTCATTTGGAGAAACAAATTCTTTTATAACTAAAAGAGACATTCAAAATAAAAAGAAGTGCCTTATTGTTATTCTGGTTTCTTCCACACTTACCTCCTTGCTGTCTGTCACAGGAACCCATTTAAATATCCGAAGGGATGTGTCACCCACAGTCACCCACTTTTTCTCCCTAAAGAAAGACATTTCTTAATATTAACAGCAGAATAAAACCAATTTTCTGTCCATTAACTTGTACTTTTCCATTTCTCAAGAGATCACCCTTGAACCTGAGATGCCTTCTGAACTCCCATCGAATTATTCTTGGAGCTGGGTTGGGGAAGGCATTGTGCAGCTTGCAGCTGGAAGATCGCTGGGGGCTGTTGGGGGCAGAGAGTAAACAGCACAAGTTACTCTTTTTTGGTCTGAGACCAGGACTCAAACTCGCTATTGAATGCTTGCTTTCACTCACTGGCTGGCACTCTCCCACCTGAGCCATGCCTTAAACCCACAAGTTACTCTTTCCTTTTTGGGGGGGGGGGTCTGGTCATGGGGCCTGAACTCTGGGCCTGGGCACTGTCCCTCAGCTCTTCAGCTCAAGGCTAGCGCTCTACCACTTGAGTTACAGCGCCACTTCCGGCTTTTTTCTTTTTGCTTATGTGGTGCTGGGGAATTGAACCCAGGGCCTCAGGCATGCAAGGCAAGCACTCTACCACTGAGTCACCTTCCCAGCCCCAGCTCTTTTCTCTGCCATTTGTGAGCCCCAGGGAGAGGAAAGGCTGTCAGTCATTTATCAGGGAGAACCCTGCTCATCACCAACCTAGGCCCCTTTGCACCAAAATGACACTGGAAGTCACTTAGAGATTTCACTGCCAGTGGGGCTGCTGGCAACAGCTCTCCCTTCTGTACCCATAAGCTTCTGCCAGTTTCTTCTTGCCCTTGTTCAATGGCATGGGATTTTCCTTATTTTATACTGTTTTGACCTTTCATCTAATTTACAAAGTTGTAACTTCAATAAAGATTATAGGCAAATAATGCATAATGTCTTTTCTACTAATAATATAGATTAGCAGAAGTAACATAGGGGAAGAATTTTTTTGTGCCAGTACTTGGGCTTGAAATCAAGGCCTGAGCATTGTCCCTTAGCTTTTTTCCTTCAAGAATGGCACTCTGCTATTTTTTTTTGGGGGGGGGGGTCTGGTCGTGGGGCCTGAACTCTGGGCCTGGGCGCTGTCCCTCAGCTCTTCAGCTCAAGGCTAGTGCTCTGCCCCTTGAGCCACAGCGCCACTTCTGGCTTTTTTCTTTTTGCTTATGTGGTGCTTTGGAATCGAACCCAGGGCCTCAGGCATGCAAGGCAAGCATTCTACCACTGAGCCACCTTCCCAGCACGCACTCTGCTACTTGAGCCACACTTCCATTTCCAGCTTCTTGGTGGTTAACTGTAGACTAGGGTCTCATGAATTTTGGTGCCTAGGCTGGCTTTGACCTCAGCTTCCTGAGTAGCTAGGAATAGGTATAAGCAACCAGCACCCAGATGGTTTCTGTTGTTGTTGATTAAAATAGGATTTTGCAATAGAGCCCACACTGGCAATGAGTCTTCTAATGCCTCTGTCTCAGCCTCCTGAGTGCTAGAATTACATGTTCCACCACCGTGCCCAACAGATTTTTTTATTTTTTGGTCAGTCACAGGGCTTGATTAAGGGTCTGGGTGCTGTCCCTGAGCTTTTCTTCTCAAGGCCAGTGCTCCACAAGTTTAAGCCATAGCTCCACTTCCAGTTTTCTGGTGATTAACTGGAGGTAAGAGACTCATGGACTTTCCTGCCTGGCCTGGCTTTGAACTACATTCCTCAGATTTCATTCTCCTGATTAGCTAGTATTACATGCATGAGCTACCAGTGCCCGGTGTTGTAACAGACTGTTTCTGTGCCAATCCTGGGGCTTGAACTCAGAACCTGGGCATTGTCACTGAGACTTTTCTCCCCCACAAGACTACCACTCTACCACTTGAGCCACAGCTCTATTTCTAGCTTTTTGGTGGTTAACAGGAGATATGAGCTCACACCGGCTTTCCTGCCCAGGTTTCAAACCATGATCCTAAGATCCCAGGCTCCTGAGTAGTTAGGACTATGTGCTTGACTCACTGGTACCCACAGGTGGCTTATTTATATCCCCATATCCTTATCTCTCTTTTTATATACAGCAAGCTCTAGAGATAGGGATACGGCTCTGTGGAGGTAGAGGGCTTGCTTAGCATGACCAATGCTCATAGTACACACACACACACACACACACACACACACACACACACACACACACACGCCATGATAAATTTAGAAATAATTTCTAAAGCTCTGAGAGATAGGGATACGGCTCTGTGGAGGTAGAGGGCTTGCTTAGCATGATCAATGCTCATAGTACACACACACACACACACACACACACACACACACGCCATGATAAATTTAGAAATAATTTCTAAAGGTTAGAATGTGTTTGTGACTTTAACTAAGCATCATTATCCCACAATACTGTGAAATTTGTGAAACTTATGTAATCACTTAATCACAATAAAAAATTGCAAAAAAAATAAAGAAGAAATAATTTCTAAGTCTCCATCTTCCATGTAAGGGTCTCCACAGGGGATAATCATAAGAAAGCCTGGTGCTGGTGGCTCACACCTACAATCCTAGCAACTCAGGAAGCTGAGATCTGAGAATCCCAGTTCAAAGCCAGTCCAAACAGGAAAGTCCATGAGACTGTTATCTCCAATTAGCCAGCAGAAAACCAGAAGTGGAGCTGTGCTCAAAGTAGTAAAGCACTAACCTTGCACAAAAAGGCTCAGGAACAGTGCCCACGCCCTAAATTCAAGCCCCTAAAAAAAAAAAGTGGTGGTGTGGCTCAAGTGGTAGAACACTCAACTTGAGCTGAAGAGCTGAGGGACAGCGCCCAAGCCCAGAGTTCAAGCCCCACTACCGACAAAAAAATAAAAAGAACAAAAGAAAGAAAGAAATAAAAAAAAAAAGACACGTGCTGTGAGTGATGGGTATGGAGATAGTACTATCTTGCTAGTCTGGGGGGGGGGGGATCCAGAATACATATAAAAAAAAAGAGACAGTATCTACCATGGAGAATATTTCAAATTTCAACTCTGAAGTTAAGCTTTGTAGAAATCCTTGTCTCTAAGTATCTTGAGACATGGAATATGGCAGAGATTACCACCATATTCAGAAAATAAAAGCACAAGAAGGAATGAATATCTTGCCTAACTTCACTGTCTAAATAACTGTTAATGTCTCAGAAGTCTATCTAGATCCAATTAAAACTAAATTTGCTGTTCTGGACTTATACCTTCAATACAACTTTTACTTTTTTTGAGAGGGGAACTGGGGTTTGAACTCAGGGTTTTGCACTTGTAAAAGCAGGTAGTCTGGGCTGGGAAGGCAGCTCAGTAGTAGAGTGCTTGCCTTGCATGCATGAGGCCCTGGGTT